GACTGAGGCAGGACGATCACTTGAGCCCAGGAGTCCCGGGCTGTAGTGAGCTATGCCTGTCAGATGAGTGCACTAAGTTCGGCATCAATATGGTGACCTCCCAGGAGCAGAGGGTGAGGGGCAGGGACCACCAGGTTGCCTAAGGAGGGGTGAACTGGCCCAGGTTGAGAACAGAGCAGGCCAAAACTCCCGTGCTCATCAGTAGTGGGATCGCCCTGCACATAGCCACTGCACTTCAGCCTGAGCAACATAGTGACACCACATCTCTTTAAAAAAATAATAAAATAAAATGGTGTTGGGAGATCTCTGCTGCCTTGAGGAGCTTACAAACTCGTAGAGATGACTACAAAAATAAGTGATAATTAGAGTGCTTTGTGCTGAGGTAGTAGCTTCCATCTATACACAGGGAACAAGGACTCGGATTAGGGAAGGGCTGCTAATCCTGCCCAGAATAGGGGTAAGGAAATTTTCCAGAAAGTAGTAAGAACTGGAGGACCAGTCTGGAAAGAGAGAAGGCTGTTGCAGGCGGAGACTAGCATATGCAAAGACTCAGAGAGAGCAGTCACCAGCTCCAGTAACACCAGCTTATTTTCTTTCTGCGACGCTGAGACCTCAGAATGAACCAAATCTCAAGAGGACACGGATAGGTTACAAAGCCTAAAGCACCAGGGTTGATGCACTCTTGTTTGTATATTTCACTATTAAGAGTTTTACAAATCAAAAATAACTAAATGCAACATGTAATTCTGAAATAGATACTGGACCAGAAAAAAATACATGCATTTATTTTTCTTCCTCTATAAAGACATTATTGGAGCAATTGGCAAAATCTAAATAAGGTCTATAGACTAGATAAATAATTGGATGAATGTTCATTTCCTGGCTGTGATAAGTGTACTGGAATTATATAAGACCATGTTCTGGTTAGTAGGAAATACACACTAAAGGATTCAAAGGTGAAGAGGCCTCATGTCTGCAACTTACTCTCCAACAGTTCAGAGAAAAACGATATTAATATATAAAGAGGATGACAAAGTAAAAGTGGCAAAATGTTAATATCTGAATTGAAGAATGTCAGTAATAGGTACTTAGGAATTCTTTGTACTATTCTTGCAACTTTTCTATAAGTCTAAAATTACATATTTTTAAATTAAAAATTTTTAAAAATCAAAGTTAGAAAGAAAGCAGTAAGAAAGGACAGGAAAAAGGAGGCAGGAAGGGAAGTTTGGCAGGATAAAAGTAAGAGGGGAAGGAAGCAAGGAAGGCAAGCAAGTTGTACCCAATGCTACAAAGGGTACTAGGTAATTTCAAGCTCCAGCAAAACAAAATAAAACAAAACAACAACAAAAAAGATACAGGTGAGACCAAGGAGAAAAGGTAAACTTTGGCTTCACAGAGCAGACTCCTACTCCCTACTCCTTTTGCTAGTGTCTGTGTGATCTTGGGCATGTGATGGGAGCTCTTTGGAGTCAGTTGTCCCTTCTATAATCATGGTGATCAGGTCTCACTGCAGGGTGGCCAGGGAGTTCTCTAACAGCAATGAGAGGCAGCTGTCATTTACTCAGCATTCACTACCCACCAAACTTTTCCATATGCTTCACATACACTGAATTATTTGATCCACACATCAGCCCTATGAGGTTGATATTATTATCCCTATTTTATAGGTAGGTAAACTGAGGCAGAGAGGCTATGGAGCATATCCAAGGTCACGTTAGTGGGAGATGAAGTCAGGATAGGAACCCAGCCTCGCCCCAGAGAGGAATCAAGGACAAAGCAAAGGCCTGGCACAGAGGCATTCAGTTGGCTGGAAGATCAGAGGGACCAAGGAAGCATGGGAGACTCTGTCCATCGGTGCTGCCCCCCCGCCCCCACCACACAACTGTGGAACTACCCAGAGGCCAGTTCTTGCACCCCCAAACAAGATCCCTTCCACAAGGCCTCAGGGGTCCCAGATGCCAAAGCCACCCCACCCCTTCTCCCTAACAAGGAGCAATGAGCCCCCAACATGATGTGCGGGTAGTGAAAGGCACAACTTCAACACAAGAGACTGCTGTTGCTACAGTTTGCATAAGTCGGCCCGGCTGCTTTACAACAACTGGGTAAGTATTACCCTACTTTTTTACGACTTTATTATTAAGAAGCATCAGATGTTACTGTTGATACCAGCACCCAGTCTTGCCATTAGCACTGCATTGACTAATAGCTCTCATTTTCATAAGCATATCACCTAATGCATGTGAAGAGCTTATTGCCTGCTAGATACCAGGCAGAGCATTTTACCTAGATCTGGCCCTTGAACTTCAGCAACCCTAGGAAGTAGGTATGATTTATTATCTCCACCCTTTAGATGAAAGATGGAAAGAGGTTAAGTTACCTGCTCCAACTTACATGGCAACATGCCAGACACCAGACACAAATCCAGGCAACCACAAGACTGCTTCAGAAAAGGCCTACACGGGATGCAAACTCCAACCTCTTCCCCCAGATCAGAATGTTCACGGCATTCTCCCCTTGCCCCAGATCACTCAGATAGATACAAGCCTGGCCCCAACTTGAGAAAACATAGCAAGAATTACCACCCCTCAGCTTGCCCCGCAAGCAGGCCAGGACACCCAACAGCCCCTCACCTGGAGGGCTAGTCCATCTCCTCTCTTGGGGTTTCGAGGCCTGAGCTGTTTATTTTGCTTCATCCTGTCCTGGCATTTGCTGCAGCACTGTACACAAAATGGCTTAATTGGGCAGCCAAGGCACCTGGGGCCTCAGAACCTCAGAGGAAGGAGTACAGGCCCAGTTTGCTAATTGCCAATTGTCTCACCATGACAACGCACACCAGGGCTGTTCTAGCCCAGCACACATTCAGGTTTCTCATCCTTCCAATCCCGAAGCTTCTTCCTTCCCTAACTCTGGGCCAGACCCTTTAGGAACTTGACCTCTAATTGAGGAGATGGCTATGATTGTAACCCATAGCACACATGAAGAAACGGAGAGGCCAGGAGGTGCCAAGTCTGATGCACAAGTGATAAACCGCACACGCATCCCACCTCTGCCCCTTACCCTACACATGCTAGCTAACCAATGCCTCTGCAGAGGCATCAGAAGCATCAAGTTTTCATTGGCTCCTTTTGCCTTTGGCATGAGGAGGTCTGGGATGGGGACTCCTGCATGGGTGGTCCCAGGTAAACTGAGATGGAACTATTGGAGGGAGTTACAAAATTAGGCTGACAAAGGCAGTCGGTACACAGTAAGTGCTCATTGAACAGCAGCATTTTAGTCCTGGGGGTCAGCTCACACACTCTGCTGAGAAGGGCCTAGGTTGGGTGCAGAGCCACTTCCAACCAGTCCTCTCACTGAAGGTGGTTGACCTGCAACATCACAGCTTGGGAGCTGCAGAATAAGGTGCAGGATCCCACAGAGGCATGAGGAACTGTGAGCATCAGCCCTGAGATTCTTTACTTGAGTAGCTATCACCTCCATAGCTCAAGGAGGTGGAAGGAATAAAGTCTGGAACTCAGACAGCAAGCCTTTAAATGAATTCAAACAGATACCCACTCACTAACCTATCATGATCCATTGACCAGCAGCGTCAAAATTCCTAGGGTCCACCCTAGGCTTTCGGAATCAGAAATGCTGGAAGTTGCGCCTAGCAATCGCAGCCTTAACAAGCTCTCCTGGGGGTGCAGATGTGCTGGAGTTTGAGGACCAGTGCACTGGACCGTGTGAGTAAGCTCCATATCTGCTTCGGGTCAACAGGGTATTCCCACACTGCGCTTGAACGAATGAGTCACATACTCCCAACCGCCCACCCCTTACACTTCAACCAGGTCCTCCCCCAGGCCCCATCCATCTACCTGCAGAAGAAATGGGACACCAGACTGTTATAGAGAAATACTGATTTTAATTAAACACAAGGTAAACTCTAGGCATCCGTCATCTTTCAGCCTAAAAATTAGCAAAACCTGTTGAAACAAGGCACGGATTTTCCCCCCATATTTGTTACATTGTGGCTCCAGTTACAAAAAAATTTTAATGAAAATGTGAAACATAAAAATAGAACTTTGAGACTTTAAAAAAAAAGAGTATAAAAAGCCCCACAAAACTTGTTGAATGTTGTTCCTTAATTCTACAAAATAGCACCAGTAAGAAGAGTAAAAGGTGTTAAAAACCATTACGACACCATTTCTGAAATGCAGCTTGTCTGAACTCCCTTTCCCACTAAAAATGACTTATCATGGAATTAAAAAGGATTTTAAAATCTCTGGAGGGAGGATCCAGCTTTTATTGCAGTTTTCCCCCCTGCCATCTCTTAGATGAGGGGAATGTGCTTCTGCCCCTGGCTGTCATTGCCTCTGAGTTTAGAAAAAGGATGAGGAGTTAGGGTAATACCCATCTAACCTGGGGACCTGTGCCTCGAGGAGTCTGGAGGGTGCATCTTTTGGAGAGGGGATGGGGGGGGGTCTTACCTAAGCTCCCTCCTTCACACCCCTCACATAGGGAAGAGATACACAGGAGCCATACTCGTCTACATGGCATATGGCAGCATTCATCATGTAACTCAGCACTCCCCTTCCTGAGCTGCCCGGAGGGCTCTATTGCAGTCACTTGGAGGGATTTAGCTAAGGGTGGCCCCTGCCCTGGGGTTTGTGGGGAAAAATAGCCCTGAATGTGATGATGATGTCATCCCTGCTGAAATCATCATCACTGTGGAAAATACTCTAATGGCCCCGACAGCAGACTCCAGCCCTCATAACTGAGGCAAGGGGCATGTGCCGGGCAAATTCAAGAGAGACATATACATCATTTCCTCTTCTGCTAGCCCTAGGAAAAACACATCCTGGGCCCTTAAAAATGTCCCTTAGCTACATATCTACCACTGCACACTCTTGTAAATGTGGAGCAGCAGACATTTAAAGTAAAAAAGTATGGTATGAACTGTCTTGGATGATTTTTCATCAGTATTAACCTGAGTATTAGAGAGCTGTCAGCACTGTGGTTTTGGTATCTTAGCCATCTGTTTCTCTGAGTGATAAACCCAGGAGGGGGAAAAAAGCCATTTTACTACCTACTTCAAGTTTTAAAGTTTTAGGAGAAGAAAAATGAGCACCGTGTGTAGCTGCTCCGAGCAGCTGGGTCTGAATTGTGCACAAGGAGGTGGTGGCACCTCGGGCTCCCCCTGCAAGAGTCAGGCGGCTCTGCTCCCACTGCACAGGAGAGAACTGAGGTACGCAGTGTGATCCCCACACAGCTGAGCTGAGGAAGGGCAGGGCCTGGGCTCTGCCACACACCCCAGAGCCCCCAGCACCTGGGTGCAACTATTCACATGCAAAGTAGTCCTTCAGGGGGGCGAAGAGGTGTCGGATGACTGGCACACTCCAGGACCTCCCGAGCAGCTTCTGGCGGGCGCCTCGGCCCATGTTGGACACATCTGTGTAGTGTACAGGAAAGCCGAAGATCCTGGGGGCACCAGGGTAAAAAGACAGTGAGTCAGAAGTGCCCCTCCGGCATGCTGGAGTCTCTGGGAAACCCTCACCTCGTCAAGAGGTCCCGTACTTCCTGCCCATGCCTTCCCTAGTGCCATCCCTCAGTCAGGAAACCTGGCCCTTCAAATGAGCCCTTTCATAAGCGCCAGAAGGCCCAGGTCCATGAGTTCCTTAGAGCACTTGCTCACAAGTGACCGTCCAGAGGGCATGGTTCCTCCACAGGGCACCTGTTTTGTGCCTCCCTAGCACTGGCACTATGCTACTGGCACATAGCTGGTGCTCAGGTGACCTTGAATGAATGAATGAATGAATGCATGCATGCCAAGCCAGCCAGCAAACAGACATGCATCTGTCTTCAAAACACAATGATGGTAGAAGGGAAGCAATTTTCTTAATAAGGTCACACTCAAAAACACACCAGGCTTCGAATCATCACAGGCTCAGGCAACTTTGAGCGAGGACACCTCGGCATCCTGAGATTTCCTTCCCTCTTCAAACCCAGTTGATGGATTAAGTTAAGGACCATGCTGGACTTCAGGCAGATGGCAACAAATATCTAAGAGCCTTCTCCACAAGATTCTAGAGGAAACAGACTACAGATACGCTGAGCCTCAAGGTTACTCAGGCTTACAATCCAATACTAAAAGGCCAATGGCAAGAGGCAACACCTCAGCCCTGTGTCTTGCTTTGCCTTGGCATCTTCATCATGACAGCCATCGGAACCAACCCTAGTGTCACAGCTCCAGCCCAGCATTTTATTCTTGGGTCTCAAAATACAGAATAATCCATAGCATGAATAGATTGGGCAAGGTTGCCCACCAGTTTTTCTTTCTACTAATCAGAAGTTACTTTTATACCAAGAAAACTACTGTTATGTCAAAGAAGAAATAAAACCAAGATGTAGAATAGAAATGTCTAGAATGAAAATACTCTGTATCAAAGCCTTGAAATACAGCTAAAAAAAGAGGAAAATTCATAGCCTTAAACAACTATATTTCTAGCAAATAATAATAGTAAATTATAAAATAGTAAGGAAAACAAATAACTGTAAGAATGGTAAAGAAAACAAAAATTTAAAAATGGTAAGGAAAAAACAGGATTGAAAAACAAAAAAACCAACAGAACGGAAGCGGTTCTTTGCATCAAAATAGGAAAACTTAGCCAAATAAAGGGAAGAGGGAGAGGACAGATGTGCTTAAGTAGGAATCATGCTATAGAAGGAGCAACCTGGCAGAAGAAACCTTTCAAGAACGGCACGTCTTTAGCCGGTTCCTCATACATCCTAGTGTCCCAGCATGTTGGGACAGGCCGATTTCAGGGCAGTGCAGCCAACAGACAGATGGTGCCATCTAATGACCTCATGTCTCACATTCCTCACCACCACCCCCTCCACCAATTCTGCCAGGAAATATGGGCGAACGCTAAAAGGTGTCACTCCCAGCCCCACTAACATAGAAGGGCAGTTGAGGATTAAGTTGGAGAATGCAGGCAAGTGCCTGCCCACGTGTGCTGCTGGCCTTAAGCACATGCCCTTTCCCTTTCTGTTTCTGTCTGCACCGCTTCCCTCTCCAAGTGCAGCCTTGCTCACCTTTCGAGCTCAGTGCACCACAAAACATCTTCTTTGCCATTCATGACAACAGGGAAAAGTTGGTTTTTCCCCTGTCTGATCGAGTTCGACTTGGTGGTTATTGTCTGTACTTTCTTTAACTGGAGAACAAAAGGACATCATGGAGTGAGCACAGAATGAAGGGTTCTGGGTGGAGTCAGGGCTCAAAAGCACCTAGGAGAGATGGAGTAGAGAGGGCAGGCGTGGACAGAAGGAATGGTGGCAGAAGGAATGAGAAAAGAAGGGTTGGAGAGACAAGAACATTGTGTGCTTCCCATAAATGCCAAGAAGTTAACAGGAAAGACCAGTCTCAGAGAGAATGAGATACACAGAAAAGTAACGACGGAGTGACATCACATGGGGGCCAGAAGACACCAGAGTTACTGATCAAGCAAGATCAAGTTAAAACCCCCCAGATACAGAGAATGGTCAACTAGAGTTGGGACAAATGGATCATTGCTTAATGCAAACATTGATAATTAGGTTTATGGAGGTCTGAATGTGTTTATCTATGGCTTGGCAGCACATAATTTTTTGGCAAAAGCATTAAATACTCCTTTCTTACCAAGAGAGCCAGTGAAATTCTGTCTCTACATATCCAATATTAGAGTTGGGAAGCCTAGTTGCCTTTTCTCATAGAGATTATTTATTATCAAGAATGTCTCCTACTGTTGTTTGTACTTGAAGACTAGACAGAACAATTATGTGAGGAAAGAGGCCCAGCACCAGGAATTCACGTGAGGGAAGGAGTAGGGACCAAGTGGACACCAAGGTCATCTCCCAAGTCCCCACTTGGAGGTCAGTCACCAAGTGCATTTTCCAGAGGGCCATGGCACAGACCATTTGTGAGCACGTCTTACCTTTGCTGTCCTATTGTATTCCAAGCAGTCTTGAAGCTCGAGTTTATCATTCTTTGATGCTATCACGGGCCTGGGAACAGCCAAAACCCATTACTTTCTACCGCCTGTAGAGGGTCCTTGGCTAGGCACCTCGCAAGGTGGGAGTGAGATGTGCCCTGGCAATGAACTTGAGCACAAGTCTGTGTGCCAAAGCCAGGGATGGACTAGCCCCTAGATGGGACAAACCAACAGCCAGGAGGTAACATTTCCCTTCCCGACTTTTACTATTGGTCAAAGTCAGGCTCCCACAAAGGAAAGTGAGGACACAGGACAAGGAGTCAGGAGACCCCTTGAGTCCCAGCCCCACTGCTCACTGGTGGAGTGATCTTAGGCAAGGCACCAAGCTACCTCTTTGGGCTTTGTGTCTATTTTAAAGTGAGGAGCTTGGATTAAACCTTTGTGGGTCTACTTGATACATCAGCACATTACCCCATGATTTGGTGGCTCACTGCTGGGGATGCAGCCTAAGGAGGCTTTAAAAGTGGGAGGTACTTTCATTAGAGAGGACAGGAGGAAGTTTGTAAAACTAACTACCCTATTTAACTTTCACCCTTGAAATGTATTTTGTAAATACAGAGAGGCAAAGAAGGGCAAGGGATAAAACTGAAAGTAGTTGAGCAGCTCCAGAGCAGACACCAGTGCAAGAGGTCTGAATGCAGAGTTGATGACCACAGTAAACCTCTGTGTTAGGAAGGGTTGTCATGGCCAAAACGAACTCAGATGTGAAAATGAAAACTGTGCCCACAAGAGGGGCTAGGAATCACACAAAACATTTCCCTAGACTGTCAACTTTCCTTGGCCTCACCTGCTAGGTTTCAAATGCCACCCCATCTATCTCCATCCCAACCTCCTCCATGGACCCAAGGGAGCTGAGGGACCAGGGGAAAAAGGACAAGGCACAGACCTGCCTTGTGCTGACTCGAGGATTAAGATCAAACAAACTAGATGATTTGGGCCTCTGCCTCCCGGCAGATGTTTGACACACCCACCCTGAGGGTGTACAGCTCAGCCACACCATCCTGCCTCACTCTTCCCACCATCTCCCCTGCATCCGATGCATCAAACATCCTATCCTGACCCCTTCTTGCTAAACCCACAGGATTGCTGTGCCACAAACACCAGAGGCCACCACTCGTGTCCAGCCACCTAACTTGTCTCCCCACTTTTCCCCTCATTCTGCTTCAGTCTATTCTCCACCCAGAAACCACCGTGAACCTAGGACACAATTCACCCCATCTGCTTAACACGCTGACTGCCATGCAAGAAAAAAAGTATTTTTCCTTAGGGCCATCGTGTTTTATTACGAAAATAGATTAGAAGCAGAAAACAAAACTATCCTTTCTAATTTAATGAAATTTAATGAAAAATGAAATTTATTGGGGCCGGGCGCGGTGGCTCACGCCTGTAATCCTAGCTCTCTGGGAGGCCGAGGCGGGCGGATTGTTTGAGCTCAGGAGTTCGAAACCAGCCTGAGCAAGAGCGAGACCCCGTCTCTACTAAAATCAGAAAGAAATTAATTGGACAACTAAAAATATATAGAAAAAATTAGCCGGGCATGGTGGTACGTGCCTGTAGTCCCAGCTACCGGGAGGCTGAGGCAGGAGGATCACTTGAGCCCAGGAGTGTGAGGTTGCTGTGAGCTAGGCTGACGCCACGGCACTCACTCTAGCCCGGGCAAAAGAGTGAGACTCTGTCTCAAAAAAAAAAAAAAAAAAAATGAAATTTATTGACTTCTATTCATTTCATCCATGTTTTTAGAATTAATTTGTTAATTAATGTTAATAATAAGAACATCAACAAGTAAAATTTTCATAAAGCAATTGCAAGGTTTTTCTTCAGGAGGCCCCAGGCTCAAAACTAGCATGAGTTAAATACAACTCACATGGCAGTTAGTGTTAAATCCCTTATAACTTCCCATGCAAAGATAATGTGGTATCCCATTTAAGACCCAAGTTATTTGGCCCTACACCAGGAGTTCTCCATGCTTTTCTCCCAGCCTCTGCAACACCCCTTACTCAATGCCTTCTGCATGGAATGCTCCACTAACTGCATGGCTCCATTCCTTTACTTAGGACCTTGTTGGAATAAGAAGCCTTCCCCATCAACCCTTCTAATGCCTCCCCCTGCAGCAATAAACCCCAAATCATTACTGTTTTCTCTCCCCTTCCTTCATTAACATGTCAACTCCATGAGAGCCAAGACTGACGTTGATGTGTTTCACCAAAATGGCAGCAGTTTAACAGTGCCTGGCAGATTGAGCTCAAATGTTGAGTGGATAAGCTCATTTAATTCAAAAGTAATTAGCCAATTAAAAACGCAAGATAGCCAATGAAAATCCTCAAAGCTATTCCAGGACCCAGTCACCTCTGTTCACACTTCGTTAAATGCCAGAAAGTTATTATGCTCCCAAACATTTCCTTCTAAAGGAGAATGTTTTAAGCTTAACTCATTTGCAAGTCTGGAATGTCATATTACCATCACAGATTGCATCTTAATTGGCAAGTTGTTCTTCTTGAAACCACCTGTATGGGAGATTAATCCTCAGCAAAGCCGCCTGCCTGAAGAAGACTGAACTGCCTTTAACACATGATAAAAAAGGTGGAAAACGGTATTGGTTATGAAAATCTGAGAAGAGATGGGAAATAGATACTAGATCTAGCTCCAGGACGTGCACTTAAAAGATCAGGCCCATCTCGAGCTTGAACAAGTAAGAGTAGAAATGGGGAGTCCTTCCTGAGATTTCCAGGTATTTCACACACACCCTGACAGGGATCCACCCATAAGACCACAAGGTGGTCTGAAACGCAGGGTGGGGCTATTTCTCAGCAGAGCCAGCTCTTTCTAGAAGGCACAAACATCAGAGCTGACATTGTTAGATATGTTTAGCTTGGCCAGTACCTGTCCCACTCAGAGCCCCTTGTTACCTGTTCATCCCGGGTAGGTTGCCCCAGAAATATCGTGCCCTGTGAGCAGCAGATACTTTTATGGCATCGATCATCACTGGATTGCACTGCAAGGAGAGGATCGAGCTGTTAGGAGCCCACACCAGAATTCAGGTGTCAACAACAGCGGGGCTTGACCTGTGCATGTGACAAGGCTGCCCCTGGCTATGGAAGAGGTGTGGATGGATTCTCCTAGCCATGGGAGAGCCCACATGCCATCAGAGGCTGGCTCTAGGACACAGCCAATGTCTCTGTATTGACGGTGGGTATAAAGAGATCAGGTCATACCTGCAAGTTCTGGGAGAAGGGATCTCTCCTGGAACATGCCATATTATTTAAAAAATGTGATGTGCAGAGCTGGTAAAAACCAAAATCTTCCAAGTTAAGCCCCTGGTTGTGGGAATATAGTGTGGATGACACAGGACTCCTTCAACCTGGATGCCAGTTCTAAAGCAAAGCAGCCAGTTCTAAAGACCAAGACAGAACTTAAGCTATCAAGTTTTGGGAAAAATTAAATGAGCTAGGAGTATAAAAATTATTTAATGTAGTGCTTGATGCATATTAAACAGTAAATAATTAACTTTCCTGTGACACCTAAAACAGTTTTCAGAAGAGTGAGAAAAAACTTGCTTGAGTAAAAGTCAAATCAAATCTCATGAGCCCTCAACAGAAACAGAGGATGGTTTTATCATTGCTGCCTGAGATTAGAGATCAAATATGTCCCATGTACTAAGAGAACCCACTGAATTCCCAACTCTAGGATCCAGCCAGAGCAAGAACCAGGAAATCACTCAACATTAGCCACCAACCACTGCCAGCAGGCATTTCCCTACCCAGGTTGTCTGACAGGCCTCTAGGTCCTCACCTCCAGGAACCTTGAGATGTCCCTCTTGTCGCCGACCTTCATGGCTACGACGTTCTCAAACATCCAGAAGAACGGCCGGTCATCCCCCTCCTTGGGGCGCGAGTAATTCAGCAGGTGGTAGAACTCAAAGAAGAGCCGGCCTGTCCCCTCTACACCCACAAAATATGACAGAGCAGGGTTCACTCAAAAACCTCCAGCCCAACTGGCCGTATTCTCTGAGATAAACAGGTTCCTAATGATCTCCTAACATTACTGTCAATGCCTAACTTGCCATTTCAACCCGAAGTCCTCTGGAATGACTGAGCAAGGACACGGGCGGCAGCAGCACAGTGTTTACGGATCTTTCCCTCTGTGGACCGAGGATTTACAATGGGGCAGGGACAGCAGCAAGAGTCCCTGAGGCTCCCAAGTAAACTGGCAAAGAAGCAAACAACTCCTGCTCCAGCCCCTTCCACCTGGATCAGCACTCAGTTGACAAAGGCCCTCTGGGGGTCAGAAAGGAGGACGCTCACCGTACAAGCCTTTTCTGGCAGGATTCACATTTGAGAGATCATTGCATGGGCTTCCACCGATCACCAAGTCAAAGGGGCCCCATTCTTCAATCTGAGGGAGAAAAACAAGTCAGGATGAGGAAAGGGAGAGGGGTGTGCACAGAGGCACAAGAGAGCCTGGATCCCCAGGTCACCTGCCCAAAAAGACCCAGTTCTTGAAACTTGCTTGGTCACCAACTCCACTTCTGCCCCTAGAAAACCTAATGCTCAGGATTCCCCAAGGCTACAGCGTTTAAGCTGTGAGTCTCAGTGCCACAACTTGACAGGACCACAGGTTCTCTTCCTCCACCGTACCCTGGGCCTGGGGATGGGGCTCACGTGCCACAGGAGTGTGTGGGGTTCGCAGTGAGGAGGAGTGGGGAGAACAGAAGGTGACCTCCAAGGGTACAGCACGCCCTCACATTTTTCTTTGTGATGTTTCTCACGTCGTTCACATATTTGATATTCCCCTCATGCTTGACAGTTCCAACGGCGATGGACTCTTCACACACTTCAGAGGCGACATACTTTTCCACCTTTATGCCCAATTCTTTGAGGACCAAGTACCCTGCAGGGGCCAGGCAGACACATAAAAGCACGAGTGAGGCAAGTGTGCGGGGAGGCGCATTTCCAGTGCTTCCTGCTCTGGTACAATGAGGATATTCCTCGAGTACATCACAGGGCAGTTTAGAGGATCAAATGAGTTAAATTGGGCAAAGCCCACAGGGGTGCCATGCATATTGGCTGTGCTAACTATATATAGGGGGAAATCTTGGGGAACAGAACAGAACCAAGACTGGGGACAGTTGTCTTATTGTTGCCTAATTGATCTCTAATATATTCAGGAATGTGGAATGAAAATTATATCTGTACATAGTAAAAAAAAAAAAAAAAAGCAAAACTATGATATACATCCTTTTAAAAGGACTAAGAGTGCCAGGTGGGTGACAAGGTGGAAAGAAACAAGGAACCACTGGTTGTCAGAACAGGTACAAACAGGAAACCCCCCAGGGTCTTTCATGGCATTGGTGTCAGACACCTGGACCAGGCCCACAGCCTCCCTGGCTACCCTGCCACAGTGCAGCCCCAGAACATAACTCCCAAACTCACCTGTTGCAATACCATCAAACAGAGACAGAACTCGAATGGGCCTCCTTCGGGCTGCAGGAATCGCAGGGTACACCTTGGGGGCTTCCTGCCAGGTAAGGAAGGAGGTCAAGGAGACAAAGAAGGAAGGAGGGGGGCCTGACCCTTCTCAGAGGGATTCCAACCCAGCTGTGGCCACCATAGGAGCTGTGATGGGGACTGACAAGACAGAACACACCACGCCTGCATTTGCACAGAATGGCCACTCTATCCTGGGGCATGAGCCAGAGATGATCACACCCATACAGATGCACACATACAGACACCACCCTGGGTAAGATGACCTGGGGCCGCCCCTACAAACTGGGAAGTTCACTCCTCTTCCCTTCCTGCTCAGTTCTGCTAACTCGGAAGGCTACAGCATTTCTTCCTCAGGCCCTTGCATGTCCACACACTGAGAGGGGGATGAACACCGCAAGCCTGAGAACTGCACAGAGCAAGTGTCAATTTGCCAGGTCTCTCAGCCTTGGAGCATCCAATGGGGTCCACCTGTACAATGGATCTTTTCTCCTATTCCTCCCGCTATTGAGAATTCCTGCGCGGTCCATTGCCCTTTGCCCTGGGGTCCAGGGTGCTGGAGGCAGGAGCCTGTGGCTTACGTATTCTCGCCCCATATCACTGGTGAAGAAGGCCTGCAGGCGCACATTCCAGTCCTTCCTGCGCCGCAGGACACCGTGACAGCGCTGTGGCAGACACATATAGCAACTCCATGGCTCCTGAAGCTTGGCCTCTGCCGCAGTGCCTGAGCCAACCAGCACCTCCAGGCACTCCACACAAAAGCACCTGTGCCCGGTGGCAGGGGAGAAGAGACGTCTTTGTCATTGGCAGGTCTCCTGCGCCACCCCTTCCCCACTTCCCCAAAGAGATGGCAACCCACTGCCCAAAACCTTCTTGGAGGCCCCAGGTACGTAATGTGGGATACACCTCATTCTTGGACACCTGCACCCCCTTATTTCCACAGGCTCTTTGCACAGCAATGCTCTCCGACCACCTCAGTCAATCCCCGTGGAAGCTTTAGATGTCAGGCCAACTGCCAAACCTCCAGGGGGGAAGCCTGCCCTGACACCCTACTCCTCCCCTTCCCTCACAGACATACCTACCGAAACCCTCCCTGCACACCGGCTCTACCAGCCATGTGAGAACCACAGCCGCCACACGCTGCCTGCCATGCCTGTGCCTGTGCGTGGGGTTCCATCAAACACAGGCAGCTGTCTCCAGACTGCAGCATTCACAGGGTACAACTTTGCAGCCTCAGGGCCCACTCATTTCTCTCCCCCAGGGCCCACTGCTAACCGGCAGCAGCTCGTGTTGCTGCAGAGAAGCAGCTCCCGACCCTCACAGCACACGGTGCAGTAAGACTGGTAGCCATCGTCGTCGTACATGTAGAACAACTCCAAGAACCGATCCTGGCAGCCAGAAAGAAACGCCCGTGAAATTGGAAACCAGAGACAACCAGGCCCTGCTTCCTGGCTGGCTGAGGCCCTAGGACCCAGCTACAGAACAAGTTGTGGTGGCTTGGTGTCCCTTACAGAGACAACTGTGGGTTGCGTGCCACCGTCCTCTGCCCCGGCAACCCCCACCAGAGAAAGGGTGGGAGGCACCCAAGAGGGCGTTTGACACCTGCACACAGGTGCTGTTATCTGGGAAGTACAGGGAGTTTGTAGAGGAAAGAAGGGGGGGAACATCCAGGACAGGGGTGGGGGGACTTACCCGGCATGTCTGGCAGAGGCCCCCCTCAAAGAGAGGGTGGAACGACACAGAGTTCTTCTTGCCACAAGATAGGCAGCTGTCTGTAAGAAAGGCAGGGTCACAACTTGTGGCAACTAAGGCCCCAACAGCAGCTGCTGAAGCCTGCGTTCTCCCAGGTCCTGAGCCCTTTCTCCAGGCCAGCAGTGTGCCAGGGACCCTGCAACACTTTACTGTTGTGCCTCCCACTCCATATCCCCTGCAATGAGCTGTCCCACTTCAGAGACTGGGAAAGTCAAGACAGGCAAAGCACTGCCCCATAAGATGTGAGGCAGAACCCAGACTAGGGGTCCCTCCAGCAGAGGGAAAGGCTTTGAGAGCCTGGTTTGAAAAATCTTTTGAGAGCCTTTAAATACCAGGACACTGGGGAATTAGTCATGATAGGAGTTGCTCATGCCCACATCCTACAAATACAGCACATGACCACAACTTCAGAACCTAGGTCTTTAACCAATAGGATACCATGCCTCCTTTCTTATCCACAACTGATTTGCATCACCAACCAGGTGGACAGGACCTTTGTATTGCCCAAGACTAAGCTTCCCTAGCCAGGAAGGAGGAACAGGTAGGTGAGTCTTGGGGAACAGGAAGGATATGCCAGTGTTGTCAGGACTGCTCCAAACCCAAGCTTTCCCCAGGGTTCTCTGGTTCAAGGCTGCAGTGTTTTCCTACCCTGCATTGAGCAACCACTCAGATATCAAGTTGAAGAAGTAAGGGAGAATTGATCTCGCAACTCTGAATTCCATTAGGTATGTTCTGGGCAGAGGATCAGACTCACTGGCAATCCTAAGGCAAGGTGAACAGACTGCAATTCTCTTGACAATGGCTAAGTGTGCTGACTTTCAAGTAAATGCTCATCCCAGGTGTTCTTTGGGAAGGCTCCTGATGCCACTGCTCATGGTTTGAGCTATTGTTCTCCTGGCCAAACTACCCCAGCTTCCATTCTGACCCCGCCTCCCACTCACTTCTTCTAGGGCACAATCTGTCTCAGCTAAAACCAGGCAACTAGTTGAATAAAATGTAGCAAATAAGATGCAGGGAGCAGAAACAGGCCTTGATCTGAGGTTAAACCCAACAGGGTAGACAGGCTGGGCCAATGCAGGCCTTGAGCCCTGCCCAGGATGAGAAGGGAGGACCGGAGGAGAGAACATTACCTTCCAGGTTACCCTTGTTGTTGGTGACATCAGATGCCATTTGTTCTGTTGAGAGAACAGGGAGAAGGTATGAGACAGGGTCAGGGAACCATGGTGACCACCACATGCTCTGCAGAGGCCCAGCAATCACCTCGGCTCTGGTCCTCGTCCCCGCGGTCTTTTCCATTGTTGTAGCAATTTGTCTTGAGGCGCTTGGGTGGAGGGCAGTAGTCAGAAGTGGCCGAGTCGTCAGCTGTGCGTCTTCTTGTCTTGTTCTCTGTGAAAGATGAGAAGACCACAGCCGTGGCTTGATAGGAGGATGGTCCAAAGAGCATGTGGGCTCGGGACAAAACCCGGCTGGCTATGCCCAGGTACCAGCTGCATCTGGGGCGTGACAAGCGGTACGTATGCTGGGTGTATACGGTCCCCGATGGGCAGCTCAGGACAGGAGCCAATCCGAATCCCCTTACACACAGGGATCCATGTCTAGCACATGTTTATGGGGTTTTAAACATCTTTATGTATGAAAGAAGCCATCCTTCTAGACCCAGCTCATAGAACACCAGATAAAGCTCAATCCATGGCTAAGACACATTTATGTCTATTATGTACAACATGGTAGCCACAAACTTGAAATTCAACTAGTGCATAAGGAATGGAATTTTACATTGAATCTACTTTTTCAACTATAAATTTTATGGATTTAGTTTATTTATATGCAGTTAAGAATCTATCTGTATTTAATTAAGAGTTTGTATTTAGTTAATACAGATCAAGTATTTCCATTGAAAATTTAGCATAAGAATGAGAAGTTTTGTAAGATGTGCAAAACGTACATGAGATGTTGAAGACAATACTAAAAGGAAATGTAAAATATCTCAATTTTTATACTGACTGTTGAAATGTTAATATTCTAGAAATTGGAGGTTAAATAAAATTTGATTAATATGCATTTCACCTGTCCCTTTTTACTTTTTACTTTTCAATGAAGCTACCATAATAATATTTAATTGTATTGAGATACTACAAACCCCATTTACATTTCTATTCAATCTATACAGTGAATCATAATGGATATGGTTAAATTCAACTCTGCCCCTAGGGAAGAAAATTACACAGCCATTAAAAATCACAAGGCCCTTTAGTGACAAAATGACATTTGCGGTGCATATATTATTAATGAGAAATAAAGGGGAAAGCAGGAACCCAACTAGTGCACAGAAAAAGCTGGAAGGATGTGTACCCAACAATGTTAACCTAAGGACATTCGTGAGGGTGGGAAGTGAAGTGGAAGGTTCGGGTGTGAGTTCAGGTTGACTTTTGAAGAAATTTGATTCTTTTCCAGTGACCATGGTATATGCAAAGAAATCAAAAGAAAGTGTAGAGAAAACAGTTCACAGTCAAAAGATGGGAAGAAAGGGAATACCGTATTTCCTTGATTCTAAGTTCCTACTGCCTGCACGACGCACCTTCGACTTATTAACCACTTTTTTGGGGGAAAAAAACAAAACAGAAAACATTACATTAAATGTATGGATTGAAAGACACTGCTCGGATTTCAGGAAACCACAAGTACCTTAATAGTGGGGGAAATATGACATTGGTCAAAATGTTCTGAGATGGCTTAAATACTTTTTAAAAAAGCACTTTCCAAGTTTTCTCTAATGAAGTTAACTTTTCCATTAAAGAAAAAAAGGTTAAGCTAGTGAAGATTGCATCTTGACTTCCAGTTTACTCAAGTTTTCAGGACAGATTCAATCCAAATTACACACGTGTGACTTGTCTTTAACTGGAACGTGACCAGGGAAGCCAGATAAGCCTGATACAGCCTTCGTATGACCTAGGCTGTTTTTCCATAGAAAAACAGGTTCATAGGGCAAAAGAGGTGGGCTTCAAGGTTGAGACCAACTAAAAGACAGCTGGTTGGGGTAAGGAGCTGGGGGGAGAGGGTGCTGAATCTCTCAAGGTGGTGCCACCAGCAGTGGCAGTGGGTGCTGCCATAGGGACTCATTCCCACCTGGTTGCTTGTTGTTGGGTCTGAGGCCCTCGATCCCAGTGGGCTTGAAGCCCCCGTGGGCCCACTCCAACATGGGCTTCAGCTGGTCCTCCAATGAGTCTCCAGGACTGGTGGGGAAGGTCTTGCCAGCTCGCACCCTGGCTTTCTGCAAAGGCAGAGTCTGTGATGAACGAGGGACAGGGTGCTTGTCGGGCCACACCCAGGGTTCCCCCAGCTGGGGCCTACATTCCCCTCACACTGGGCCCTTTCATAGCCAGACAGCTGCCCTGGGCTGTGGTATGTGACAGAGGGAGGGGCCTGTGCAGGGAAACGGGCAGGAGGGCAAGGCAAAGGGGGGGTGGCGGGAAGCCTTTCCATACAGGTTCCAAATATGATCTCTTTCCCTTAGGGAACTGGAACAGTCAGCTCCCTCAAAGGCAGAGGAATCGGAATTAGCTGATGATGCAAAGGCTCAGCCAGCACCTCTTTTATCTCCTTTGTACCTTGTCTGAGAAGGGGCCAGATTTCTTGTTTTATCTCCCTAATAAAGAAGGGGATGCTATCAAGTGTCCTGTATTAAGAAGGACCACGAGGATTTACATGTCTGATTAAGCTCATGGAAACTAGCACAGGGGCTGGCTCGAAAATGCAGGCTCATAAACGCAGTTCCAAGTCAAGGTGGAGGGAGGGACAAAGCCTAGTGGCTCACGGGGGATAACATAGCCCACAGATAAGGGGACGAGGCAACTGGCCTCAGCTGCTGCCCAGTATTGGCCTTGCACGCCGCCACTGAAAGGAAGGAGGCATTGAGGTCTCTGCAGGGGCACATCCCTGATTTGAATACTACACCCCATTTCTCAGTGCTTGTCCTTCCTAACTAAGCTGGCAGTACCCACAGCCATCAGGTGGAAGCTAGCAAGTCGTGGGAAGTCTCCCCTCCCAGTGATGCCCGACATATCAGGCCACCATCACGCTGACATTCACCTCCTCCCTGGCCACCCTCTCCCTCCAAGCCACCCTTGGCAACACTGTTCTGAGCTAGCTTTTGGTAGGACTCTTACTTCATCACTGCTCTCCTGGCCTGGCCCTGATTCCCAACTCCCAAGTTACCTCCAGGGCATGGTACATGGCCTTCCTGTAAGAAACCAGCTTATTGAAGGTGGCCAGGTTAAAGTGCTGGCTGAACAGCCCCAGGGCCACCAGTTTGTCCGCAGAGACCTACAAGAGAAAGCCTTCATCAACATTCACCTATACCTGTGTCTCTCACAGGGTGGTCCATCAGAAGGGGAAGATTTTTCACATACTTTATTTAACCTGGGGATAAAGTTCATAAATGTTAGAGCACTGGGGGTTAAACACAGGTCATCACCCTTCTTGCTGAGGATGATTACAACAGTTTACTCTTTAACCTTTTATTAAATGAGTTCACTTAATGTATGTGTTTAGAGAACAGTGTTTGACACAGAGTATGTACGTTTTAGTTATTGTGATTATTTGATTTTGCTTCTTGTGATTTGACCCATATTCTACTTATCTCCTGAAGCTCCAGGTCCCCAGGACATGTGTGAGCAGTTCGGGTTGCCAGGGGGCGTTGAAACTGGGTGTTCAGGGGAGGCTAATCGGAACTGAAAGAAAGATACATAGAATATTCCATTCTCCACAGAGTGCTCACACTTATGCTAACCTCCTCTTTGTACCTGAGATTCTGAACTCCCACAAAGGAGTGTAGAACTGGGGCTCTGGTAGGTAAAAAACTGCTAAAATGCAGGTGCTGCTCCCAACAGCACACACCTGGGGCCAAAGCCAGAGCCCACATGGTAATCTCATCCCTCAATGCTAATAGCCCTGGGCTGCATCTTATTAGCATCACACCCTGTCGTGCAAAGAACATTTTATGTCTCACTGGGCCAAACTAATGACAAACAACGCATTTCCTTTATTTCACAGAAGTCATTGCACCCATCCCTGGACTTAGACGCTTCAGGGCCGGCAGAGCCCAGCACACTGTCCCTCTGCTCCCTCTGTTGGCCAAAGGGGGTGTCTGCATGCAGAGACTCCCCCATCAGGCAGGCTGCATCCTATTATCCTAGCCCTGCGGAAACTTCAATGTGCTTATGGCAAATGGACCCAAGAGAGCTCAATTCACAGGAAAACCAGAACCTTGTCCTGAGGCTGAATCCCAGGAAGGTACTAGATGGTCCTTCACTCCCACATTAGCCTCCATCCTGCACGGCCCAACTTGCCTTAGGACTGTAAGTACCTCACCTAACCGCTAGGGGTTTTGAGGGTTGGACTAACTTTTCTAAGAGACTGTCACAGAAGGTATTCTGTCTGCACGCCTCTAATCTTTGGAATGTGCCTTCAACAAGGTCTAAGAATCAAAATAGCCTAATTTATGCCCAACAGAGCTCTTCTCCAGCAAGCCCTCATCATCAAGGAAGATTTTAAAAAGCTAACATCAATCATCTAGAGGCTCTGGAATAGGCCAGGCTGGTGGCTCATGCCTGTAATCCCAGCACTCTGGGAGGCTGAGGTTGGAGGATCACTTGAGGCCAGGATTCAAGACCAACCTGAGCAAAATAACAGGGCCCCATCTCTACGAAAATTTTTAAAACTTAGCCAGGTGTGGTGGGTGCATGTTTCACAGTCCCAGATACTCAGAAGGCTGAGGAGGCAGGAGGATCACTTGAGCTCAGGACTTTGAGGTGGCAGTGAGCTACGGATGATGCCACTGTACTCTAGCCCTAGGCACAGAGGGAGACCCTGTCTCAAAAAATAAATAAATAAAAGACTCTCGAGTAACCAACTCTATAAAGAACTTTTACACAACTAACAATGGCACAATCCCTAGGCCCACCAAGGGATGACCTAAACCCTTTCTCTCTCCATAGTGAAATGACACAAAGAGGCAGTGACTATCCTTCCTGTTTCTTCCAGGCTTTTCCACTGAACACCTTTGCCTGACTGCCCAGGCAGCCGCTCCAGACCCCTTACAGTCCTAGCTGGTGGTTCTGCCCCAGAGAAATAACCCTAAAAAATAAAATGAAATCTAAGTGTCTGTGGATCCAGAGAACATTCCAGCTCTTTGTCCCCGTCAGAGTAGACTGAGCTCTGGCCCCACAAGACCCTAATAATCTGTTTGAACTGGTTAACAAGGAAGTTTTTGTCCTTCCTTCTAGACAGCGTGAAGACATAGCCCCACTCACCTGCAGAAAGTAATCACAGGCTGTCATCTCAACAGGCAACTGTAACTAAGGAAAGCACAGCCTCGGGTCTGTGGGCCCAACTAGAGACCTTGCCTTGCCCTGGACTCACCTCTGAGAACTTGCCATCGCCAAACCACTGGACCCATCGCATGCCGGACATGGCCTGTCGCTTGGAGGTGGCCTTCCAGGACACTACCATGGCAGGCCACCAGGAGAAGCCCTTGATCTTTCCCCACACGAGGTCCCCTATTCCAAACTCCTTCCCATCCTGGAAGAAAAACCACATGAAGGAAGCCCAGTAATAAGACAGACCACCCTGTCAAGCCCTGCCCACTCCACTGACCCTGAGGACAATAAAAACTCGCCATAGTACCAGGTGCAATGGCTCACACTTGCAATCCTAGCACCCCGGGATGGGAGGACTATCTGAGGACAGGAGTTTAAGACCAGCCTGAGCAAAAGAGAGACCCCGTCTCTACTGAAAGTAGAAAAATTAGCCAGGAGTCATGACACACGCCTATAGTCACAGCTACTCGGGAGGCTGAGGCAGGAGGATCACTTGAGCCCAGGAGTTTGAGGCTGTAGTGAGCTATGATGACACCAGTGAGTCTACCTGGGGTGACAGAGCAAGACTCTGTCTCAAAACAAAAAAACAAAAAACCTTACCATAAAATGCATGAAAAGCCCATGAAAACACACACGTTATTAAAGTGTATCTACAGTATGATGTACTCTGAAGTAACGTACACAGAAAAAAGGAATCCTAACACCACACATGTACACAACACGTGTAACGAGGCTTTGCGCAGCACTGCTTGAGTGAAACATAAACACACTCAATGGGTTAATTAAGCTGTGATCCAGACAACCGGGTGTATCATACATACGTGAACGTGAGGCAATGCTACTTCTCAGCGATGGGGAAAAGCCGGTCTACAATCATACGTATAATATGAACAGAATCACGTATGTACTATGTACACAGGCAGTGCTTTCTGATGTAAAAAATTTAATGTTCAGAAAAATCAATATTCATGTGGTAAATAACTGCTGTCTGGGAAGGGAATAGGTTAAAAAAAGGACTGTGTTGCATGTGGATAATGTTTATGATAAAAATGACAACAATCCTAACAGTAGTTAGTCACTGCAAGAAGCCAACAGTAGCTGGCCTCTCTGGCCACCATGGATCCGCAGGAGCCCTTCTTGGTGGTACCTGATACTCTGCACTGTCTGCGTCTCTCCTTTCTGCATCCACCTGTGGAGACTCCAAGCTCTCCTGCTGGCTGTCCTGGGCTAGGCGGGTGTAGGGGGTACTGCTGCTCTGGGGTGTCACATCTGTGTCATCGGTGTCATCTGTGAGGTCGATGGTGAGGTAAGGGCTGGCAGGGGACGGCCACGGCGTGCCTGCCGATGCTGCTGCCCGCCGCCTCAGGGACTGTGGACAGAAGGACACAGTTTGGACCACAGCAAGACAGGCTGGTGACCAGAGACCAATGGTACCCCTACCTGCTTCCCAGGCAACAGAAAGAGTGACGACATAAGTTCAGGAGAACAGAGAGCACCGAGGACAGTTCTCCAGGAACAAGTATTCCTTAAGTGGTGGGAGAAAGTCATTGTCACCGTCCCAGAGACAGAGAGACAAGAACAGAAGACACAGGCACAATGGTGGGTAATGACGAGGGACTGAGCCAAGCTTGGAGAGGGTCACTGGCTTCTTTCAGTGCTTACTGTGCACCCAACCTTAGAACAGGAGAGAAGTGTTGCTGTACCCGCTAGGGTGGCCTCTAGACAGTTGAAGAGATAGGGAGACGAGACAGTTGTGGAAGTCAGTGGTTTCCAGTGGTTTCCAAGGTGGGGCAAGAACCTAGGCAATAAGGAATTCTTCTGTTCCCAACAGAGTCCATCCAAGCTCAGGCCAGGAGAGAAGACAACAGGCTAAGGGAAGCTTATCCGGGAGAATAAGGAAAAGCAAGACTCTGAAAAGCAGAGGAGCATGAAGAAAGGACGCAGATTATCCACCAGCCACAGCCAGTGGTGCAGTGAGTGAGGCAGATCTCCCAGCTAGAGGCTGGGGACGGGGTCTGGGCATCTGGGGAACCAACCCTGGTAGCTGGGAACTCCACGGGGGACTCGTCCACATGACTGCGGCCCTGCCGGCCTCGGGTGGCACGTGGGGAGGGCCTGTGCCTCTCCCGGCTGGAGGCACTGTTGTTATTTCGGGTTCGGACCTGGAAGCAAGAGAGGATAAGCACCGGACCTTAGGAGACTGGAGGTGAGGTCTGGGGTGGGGCCAGGATTCGGCCTTGCGGTGGCCAAGGAGACCTGGTGGCCTCAGGCCAACTGGAAATGAACAGGTAATTAAGTAGATGGGGACTCTGGACCGGTAACTCCCCACCCAGAATTCCCCAGCTCATGGAATAGGGGCGGTAGGGTGGCCAGCAGGGCCACATGACAGCCCCCAACAGACTCTGCTCTGTTCTGCCTGTCCCAGCAGGCAAACTGCTCCAACTATAAATGGCACCTACAAATTGGCAATGAAAAATAAAATCCATTATTTACCCTAACACAAACTTTTTTTCCAAAAAAAGGATAAAGCCAATTATTGGGTTCTTCAGAAGGTATTGGATCATCGAGATGAAAGAGAAGCTCTTAGGCTGTATGTTCTTTGTCAAAATGACACGAACCTGGGTGTTTTAGACCCAAGTTCAAATTCTGCGTACAAGAGTTAATGTTTAACCTTGGGTAAGTTACTAGAACCTACTCTCATCTATTCTAAGAAGGATAATACACACCATTTGCTGAGAAGGTAAGTAAGATTATAACCCATACCTAGAATAGTCACCAAGTGTCACTCTGCTCTCTAAAGGGCTGGGTGATTGTGAACAGTAATTGTCTTCCCATTTCCAGACCTCGCAGCCTTTTTGAGCCACCAAATCCACCCATAGAAGTGACTGACACCCATAGGTAATTGGCAGCTGAGCCATCCAGCCTGAAAACTCTTATCACACTTGGGCACTTCCAAGAACATTGCAAGAAAAAACTGCCATGTGAAAGAAATGGCACATGAAAGAAAACCTTCCAACAACTGCTAGTCCGTGAGCTTTGTTGTCACTTTCCAATTTCAAAACATTTGTTCACCTCTCTCTTCAACGATCCCCTAACACATGCTCGTTCCGCAGGCCCACGGGTGGTGCAAAGTGCCTTTGCGTGGTGTGGGGGGACTTACAGCTGGGCTTTCAGACCGAGTCCTGGTTTCACGGAAGAGTTTTGGCATCACCGGAGTGTCGGAGCCATCCCCATCCTCCCCTTCGGCATCTCCATCTCCTGTCAGATCCTTTATAAAGGAAACATCATGAACTTTTCAATGCAATTAAGAAGCCACACAAGTAAAATACTTGAAAATAAAGAGTCAATCATACTGAAACCCATTGCAATATTGATCCAAGAGACAGACGTACAAATATTTTCAACTACCTCATTTGTTCCAATAAGATTTTACAAGAGCTCACCATGGGATCATGAATTCAAGACAGCATTAAACCATTTAAAACCCTGTGGAATCCTCAAGCCAAAGAAATGAGGCAACTACAATACACAAGACTGATTTGTCTATATCTAGCAGGGAGACACGGTCAGTTATCCCAAGGCACAGGATGCGGGAGAAGACAGAAGCCAACTGGCTCCAGGGAGATGCTTCTTGATACATTGAGCTGGCAGCAATGCCACTGGCCCTGCTCATGTCATGAAGACCCCCGGAGGCAGGCCCCGTGTCTCTCACAAGAACCTACCATAAACCAAACACAAAATCTAAAGCAGTAAGTGGCTAGGTCTGGCTGGAGGGCTAAGCACTTGACTTTTCGCCAACTGTGTGGCCTTGAGTGAGTCCATTTCTCTCCCTTTAAAATTGGAGTACCGCTCCTTCCCTCATAGCATAACATTATAGAGAGAATCAAATCGTGCACACTTAGCCCAGTACCAGGCACAAAGGAAATGCTCAGACAGGAGATTTCATTACAGTGACTGACAACTTCCTACCAGAAACAAACCGTGGTCCTGCGCCTAAATCCTCACACAGCTCCTCGCTCCTCATGATCTGGGCCTCCTCAGTGGGTCGCCCAGCACCAAGGGAATGGAAGCTGACGACGAGTTTTCATTCTCCATGACTTTTCTCTCTGACTGTCGCCAATGCCTGACACTGGCTCTTCAAAATAAAGTAACCAAACTGACAAAACTCTAAGGTTAATAGGAAAACAGAAGGCACAAAAAAGGGGAAAAAAACATGATGGGAAAAAATCTAATGAGGTAGAAACCTTGATATTACAGCAAGTCTGAAATATTTTGTAACAATTGCTTAAAACTCCCTAAAATATGCTTAGGGAAGTTTTTTCCAACTTGTAAAAACAGATACTTTGAGGTCACACAATCCTATCAAAAAGATTATAGTTAAAGACATAAAGTCACACATCCATTTTATTCATGGATAAATGAATAAAATCAACTTCAAAACATACCATGACCATGTTGGACTCATTCCAAGAATAAAAGGACAGTTTGCTACATAGTGGTCTCCCCCTTACAGCAGGGGGTATGTTCTAAGACCCCCCCAGGGCATGCCTGAGACCTTGGATAGTACCGAGCCCTATATATTAGTTTACCTAGATATTCTTAACCGTGATACAGTTTAATTTATAAATTAGGCATAGCAAAAGATTAACAACAATAACTAATAAAGTCAAGCAATGATAACAATACACTATAATAAAAGTTTTGTGAATGGGATTTCTCTCGCTCTCAAAATATCAGTATCTTGCTGCACTGTACTCACCAGAGTTAATCTGCTCTGCCATGAGTTATGCCCTCGTGCATCCTTTGCACTGTTGTGAATGTAGGTTCTAGTGGGCATCTTTCTCCCAGAAGAGCCCAGTTTCATTGCAATTGAAGACTTGCTTTGGATGGTACCCTTTCTCCTTAATCAATTTCAACTCTGCTAAAAAAATGGCAGTAACTTCTTTATCGGCAGATGCAGTCTCTCAAGTAATGTTTCACTCCAAACCTATTCCTGAGGTCTGTGTGTAACATCCCTCACCTGTCGCAACTGGCTTGGTGCCACTCGTTTCAGGGGATCCTTGGCTGAGGTCTTTGTACAGGATTAATGCTTTCTGGCACAACAAGTTGCCACTCACAGATTTAATGCCTTTTCCATCTTAACTAAGCCCTTATCATGCACTGTGGCTGTAACTTTTGCTGTCTGAGGTGAAACAGCAAAACTAGTGTGAATTTCTTTTTTCTTCTTTACAATTTCATGCATAGAAGGTTCATTCTTACCATAGATCTCAGCACCTCAGCATACAATTTTTTCTTTCCTTATTAAGTTGAGAACTTTCAATTAAAGAAAGCACTTTACCAATTTTCTTTGGCATATGCAAATTCCCAGCATCAGTACTTTTGTGCTTTGGGGCCATTATTAAGTAAATAAGGTTTACTTGAACACAAACAAGCACTGTAACCCTTCAACAATTGATCAGGTAGCATATAACATGTGGATATGCTGGACAAAGATGATTCACATCTTGGAGCAGGACAGTGTGAGAGTTCATCACACCACCAGAACGGTGCATAACTTATTTCTGGAAATTTCCATTTAATATTTTCAGACTGCAGTGGACTGCATGTAACTGAATTGGTAGAAAGCAAAACTGCAGGTAAGGCAAGACTACCGTATTAGAAATGTATAAATGTAATTGATCATCCTGATTGAGAAAAAATGCAAATATACACAGGAAGCATCCAGTAAAACTTCATAATTTAGGAAAAATATTTTTTAAATTTAATTTACTGATACCAATTTTCATGTGCTTCAGGTTGCTTATTTGATGAAAGCTAAAGGCAATGTCCCTGAACCCTGAAAAACGGAGAGAAGAGACCATACCTGAGTGTAGCTTAGCAGACTGGAGACCTCCCTCTTGGACAGTCGTGAGCTTGACCTGCGGCCTGTGGAGGAAATGGCCAGGAGTCTGTGTTTGGAGGAAGCGGTTGTTCTGTGGCCTGGGATCTGCCCAAAAGCACTGTCATCCTCGGGACTTAACTTAGCCCCCCAGTATCTATGGTCCTCTCCATGCACTCATAAGACAATGGAGCACAGGGCCAGGCTAAGACAGGACCCAAAACAACACTGAAGGCACAAATCGGGGAGACATCCAATTCCTTCTAGAACGGTGATGCCCAATCCAGTGACCACTCACTACATATAAAGGAACAATTCAGTGTCTGCCCTTGTCAGCCACATTTCAAGTGCTCACGTGTGGTAAGTGCCTATTGTAGGGAATGATACAGAAACAGAACACTCCCTCACTCACAGGAAGTTCTACTGGATGGCACAGCTGAGGGTAGGGACAGTATAGGGGTTCCCAAGCCAGCGGGGGAAGAACCTCAAGTGAAAAGGGAAGCAAGCCCCAGACTTCCCCTCCTTAGTCTTTTTTATCCTTGCCCAACCTGAGTACCAGCTCTGAGGGTAGAGGGGTCCCACTGCAGAAGGGCCGAAGTCCCCAGCCTATGCCAAGACAACCCCTGTCATGACTGGATGAGGACAGGGAACCGCCCATCACCCTTGGTGTCACTCTCCTCAGAGTCCCAGCTGAGGTGAGAGTCCCAGGGCAGGTGCCAGGGGGTTTGGCTTTGGCTGTCCTCACAGCCCTCTTCCCTCCCAGGGGGTGTTAGGTAGAGACTGTCCCCAGAGCCTCCCTTGAGCCTGCCAGGAGGCTCCCCTCCCAGCTGTGGTCTGCAGGGACTGCCCACTGCCATCAGTGCCTGACCCTAGCCCCTGGTCCCCACCTCTGATCTCCGGGGTGTGGATAGCCTCCAGGATGGGGGGCGAGTCTGAGGAATGGTCGCTGCAGGCCCCGTTGATGATAATTGAGTCCTCCCTCCCGCTGGCATCCTCCTCTCCATTGAGATGTCTGGTGTCTCCCTTCATTGTTTCCTGTGGGAGAAGCCAGGATGGGTAGGGTGGAAGGGAAACAGGGGCGCAAGCATGCCCCCAAACCACCCTCCATTGGCTGACTCCATGTCCTCTGGCCAAGAGAGGCCCATGAGCCATTTCTCAGGGTGATACTCCTGCCCAAGGACCCTCCCAGGCTGCCCCCACAACCTGCCCCCTCACCAAACTCGGAGGCTCAGGACTTGGTTCCATGTGGCCAGGCTGTCCGGAAGGCTCAGATGCCAGCACCCAGGACAGAAGAGGGGGCTGGGGCTGGGGTCTGAGGCTCAGACTGCTCTGCGCAATTAGCCGGCCCTTCAAACAATGCCATTTAGGACCTGACTGCCCCTGCCCGCCTGCCGCCAGACTCAGTCCCCTCTGGCCCTGGCCCCCTCTCCCTGCTCAGCCTCTGCAGGGGCTCAGGAAGCCAGTGCATTATTTTCTCTCCTGACCCCTTTGTTTGCTCTCTCCCTTCCCCTCAATCTCCAGGTCCTCTTCCCACCGCCCCCTCCTCCCCCACAGAACAGCTTCTCTCCTCTCCATGGCAGCACAAGCCCCGCCCAACCCCATCCTCCAGGGCCCATTGGTCTGCTGGCCTGTCACTCACTCCTCCTCCTCCCTCACCAGCTGGGGCTCAGAGTCCCAAGTTCCCAAGAAGGGAAGGATAGAGGCTGCACAGGCAGAAGGGCTGGGGCAGTTAACAAGAGGGATGTGCCCCTGACCTGCTGTAGCCTGGCCCCCACCTCCAGGACTCAGTCTCCCCAGTGCTGCCCCAGCTGGTAAGGGCATCGTCACTTGGTACATCAGCCAAGACACAGGGCCAGATCCTCTCTAAGGGGGTGAGGGGCTGTGTGACCTTTGGCCTGGCTCACTGCCTGCTACATTGTGGGCCCTTAGACATTTATTGGATGCAAGAGCCTGGAGACTGTGGGTTTATTTTATAGAGAAGGAAAACTGACACACAGACCCAGGTTGGTCTCCTAGGCCAAATATCCCATCTAAGAGGTGGGGTCAGGATTAGGTATAGACCAGGCTAAATAAATAGAACCAGGGCACAAATGCCAGCTCAAACAGTAATTTCCAAAGGTCGCCTTTCCTTTTTGATTTACCTTCCGTGGGCAAAAATTAGGCCCAGGCACAGAAACCCCAAGACCCTATCCTTGAGCTCCAAAATGTCATTTGCTCCATACCCTCCTGTCCTTGTTCCCTGCCTGGGAATAGCTTCCCCAGTAACCAGCTCCCTATCTGTACTGGGCCCTGCCTCACCTGCATCTGTGTCCCATCTCATTCTGTGGCCCAGGCTAGGGTGCAACCATAGCTCACTGTAGCCGCAAACTCTGGGCTCAAGTGATCCTTCTCCACCTCAACCTCCCAAGTAGCTTGGACTACAGGCGCACACCACCACACCCAGATGAATCGATTTTTTTTGTTTTTTTTTTCTTTTTGAGACAGAGTCTCACTCTTTTGCCCGGGCTAGAGTGAGTGCCGTGGCGTCAGCCTAGCTCACAGCAACCTCAAACTCCTGGGCTCAA